CAATAGTATGTGTATTTGTTGTACTGGAAATTCTGTTAAGGGAAACTTTGAAACCTTCACTGCCGTACAATCTTACTGTCCAATATGTAGTTCCATGAAGTATCTGTACCACTCCCACAGATGAAATTTTTTTCTAAGACCCCGTCCTACCCCTCTGGAAATTTCAATCAAGCTTCACACATTCTTTAATTTTTTTGGTTGTACAGACCCCCCTACCCCCTCCCCAGGAAAATAGCAGTGTAGATATTTTTTGGAGCTGCACAATGTATATGTGTGCTAAAGTTTGTTTGAGACATGCCTGGCTAAAGGTTAGCAAATTGGACTCTGGATTGGTACGTGCATGTATGTTGATGCAGGTTTGAGCCTGAAAAGGGTTGCTCTGACATGTTGAACAGCAACGTTGTTCAGAGAGTTGTGGTTGCATGCCAGTTTGTGCCACCAAAAAGTCCTATTAAGCTTTAATTTTACTGTTCTTTAGTTTTACTGTACATGATACATGATACATGTACTTTGTAATTTATCCTGTTGCACTGTTTTCTTTCAGCGGAGTGTCAGTTACTTGCCGAAGGCAGGACCTGGTGGAAGGTCATCCTTCAGTGGGGTTGTAGCAACAGTGTTTGGTGCCACTGGATTCTTGGGAAGATATGTCTTAAACAGATTAGGTACAGTAACTGTTATTATGTATAGGAAATGCAAGTAAATGTGTTTCCTGTAATACCTTGATCTAGTGCTTCTGCCTTCCTTCCTAATTAGAGTTCCCCCTGGAGTGTCATTTTTTATATAGCAACCCCTTTTCTTTCCTGATAAGTGCCTCCTTCCGATGTCAACGAGCACTCCTTTTGTAAAAAGTTACAAAGAAGACACTGACATGGAACAGAGTGATGCGCAAATGATTTACAGTCTGCTGATCACAAAGGCCATTGCACTAGCAGTTACTGTAAAGCAACATTTCAGTTTTTTTTTTTTCCGTACGCCCTAGGACGCAGTGGAAATCAAATCATTGTTCCATACCGAGGAGATGAAATGGACTACCGAAGCCTCAGGCTGATGGGAGATCTTGGACAGATAATGTTCTTTGTAAGAATTTGTTTGTACATGTACTTTTAAGCCTGTAGCCAGACCCAAAAAATTGCTGAGGCATGGCCAAATAAGAGAAACAGAGAAAACAAAATCAAGGTCACTGGCCTCATCCACATTAACTTTTAAAATCTCATCAACGATAGATGAGCGTGGGGAATGGTGTCTGAAAGGATGGTGGAGCCCAAGAGCAAACTAAACCGAGCGGGTAGGGTATCCATGACAACCCTGTGAGCAGCAACTACCAGCCCCTATCATGCTGAAAAAACAGTGGAAACAAAGGATGTACCTACTGTGCCTAAAATGTACTTACCATGGAGAAAAACACGCAGAATGACTTGACAAGCTGTAAAATCAAGGCACCCCGCTTAAATCCCCGGGCCACCCCATACACCATCTTAAGGGAGACTGCTGGCCAGTAATATTGTTTCACATTTAACTTTGCCTAAATTGCATTTACCCACATAGGACATGCATTTCCTTGTTATTAGCAAATTTATTTTTTGCCTTATTTACAGTAGTCCCCATGCTTGAAGAAAAGATAAGTACCCCTGTTATGAAGTAAAGTTGTATTTTTATATCTTAATTCTAATCTTGTAAATGTTGTTGATGACAGGATTATCACCTGAAGGATGTTGAGTCTGTGGCTAAAATGATGAAGCATTCAAATTGTGTGATCAACTTGATTGGCAGACAATATGAAACAAGGTACATTTCCAGGACTGGAAAAAAAAAGAGCTGTCCTCTTGTCTGGAACAAGCATATTTTCTTGGAGGCAAATTACTCTTTTTTCTCACTTGTGTAATGGGCAAGGGCCCAGGCAAGCCATCTGCCAACTGAATCGTAATAAAAGTAAACTAGAGACTTGCCCAGGGAAAGTGAACTTGTATTTATGAGCTACTTGTCTGAAGTTTTTTTCAAGCCCTTCATCTTCAGTAAAAGATTAACCACAAGTATAACTACATGTAATAGAACAGTCAGAATTGAGCAAGAATTACTTCCGAAGAGATAGTGTTAAAATGTTTTTATCTTCGATCCAATTCATCCAACTCCCTAACTGAGGGACTGTGAGTATAGCTGACATTTTTTGCCACCTGTGTGCATTTAATGATGATCAGGGTTGGTGTAGAGGTGAGAGCGCTCTCCTCCCACCAATCTGGCCCGGGTTTGATTCCGGCCCCATGTCAGATGTGGGTTAAGTTTGTTGTTGGTTCTTGCCATGCTCTGAGGGTTTTTCTCCGGGTACTCCAATTTTCCTTCCTTCTGAAAATCAACATTTCCAAATTCCAATTTGATCAGGATAGCAAACCTGCAAGAAAACCAGCTGATGTAGGCTGATGTGGCTTCCTCTCTAAATGTTATCAGTTATTTTAATTTTTTTTTTAATTGCACTCTAATATTATACACATCATTGTCAGTTCTGCTGCCTTATAGGCCCTATTCATAAATGGTTACCAATTAAAAAATCTTTTGTAAATATTTAATTAGGCCAACTAACTTTGTTTTTGAGTTGATAATTCAAGAGAATTTTTACTCTCAAACAAGGTTAGCTAGGCTAATTTAAATGCATACAAAAGAATTTTAAATTGGCAGCCGTTTATGAATAGGGTCTATGCAGTAGGTGATTACTCTTTGCAATATTGGTTCACATTGACACAGTGAAGCTTATCATGTTCATGCTCAATATGATACTTTTTTCTAGGAATTTCTCGTTTGATGATGCCCATTGTGAGGGAGCCAGAGTTATTGCCCAAGCTGCCAGAGAGGCGGGAGTAAAGCGTCTAATCCATGTGTCAGCTCTCAATGCCAGTGAAGAAAGCCCTTCAAAGTTCCTACAGTCTAAGGTCCTGAAAGAGGAACTTATTTCTTTCCTATTTAGTTTAATTTTATTTGAATTGTTAATCAGACATCACCTTATGTGTGCCTACACTCATCTGTAATTTATGCTTGTCAAAATGAACCTATGAAGTTGGAAGTTTCCACACTGATTTTCTGGCTTTGGCAGACAACCTCATACATGTAGTGTCTGTGATTGGTTGATTTTGCTGTGCTTTTAGGGGGGTGTTGGATGTGACTTGGGAAATATATGAGAGTTCCCCCGGGGCATTCCCCTTTTTCTCTGTTGAGATTTTTCTTTAGATACTAAATATGAATCAAATGTTCAGTGAAGTGATCAAATCATTGCCGAGGAATAATACTAAATATGTTGTAATGTGAACAAAATAAAAAAAATTCAATAGTTGGCACATACATACATGCTGTACAAGCAGGAAAGCAAAGTCACAATCAATAATTGCTTGTAATAGACCTTTTTTGGTTGGGTGGTTTGTTTTCCCATTACAGACCATGTGATATTCTCTACAGAATTGTTCTGTTTTGATCCATCTAAAATATATTTATTCATATGCACACGACTATTTGAAAATTTGAAAGGAAGAATTCTCAAGAGTATCATCACATGGTCTGAAATGGGGCAACAAAGTGCCCAGTCGAAAAAGGTCTATTTCTGGTTATCAGGGATTGAGATCATTTGAGAATTATATGGGAATGAAAGCACCATGTTTAGGCGCCCACTCTCACTCCTTGAACTAAAATTAATTTAGTCACCCATGCTTGTAACTAGATACCTCAGGTGATCGCACATCTGTTAGGCAGCAGCCATGTGACCCTACAAAAGCTGATCTGTCAATAGAGTTTACAGAGAGAGTTCACCATGTACTTGTACATTGTAACAAATTGTTAATTTTGTTTTCTTATGACAGGCTCGTGGGGAAATGGCTGTGAGACAGGAGTTTCCTGAAGCCACCATACTGCGACCTGGCACATTTTTTGGACATGAAGATCACTTCTTGAACTACTACGCATGTAAGTTTTTTCAGTTTAACTGTGCATGCACTGGTAGTCCCGCGCTGTATAGACCCTTTGCATAAATGGCACCCTAAATGTAAATACCAATTCTTTATACATCCTTAGCCTCGTACTGATGTTTCTAAACAAAGGATTTTTCACATGAGTGTGAGGCTTAGGATGTTTTTCAAATTTAGGTGCATTTATGCAAAGGGTCTGGCTGTGTAGGCTGTGTGCTGCCTCAAAAGTCAATTAAATTTCAGTTGTAAACACAAATGCCTGCATGTGTAAAGTGATTTTGGTTACAAAACATTTCCTTTTGTGAAAATTGAAAATGCCCGAATAAGTTAGCAAACTTTTTGAATAACTTCATACCCTGCTGATCTGGCATTCTTCTTCTCTGAAAGTGTGCCGGAGAAAAAAAGTTTCTTGATTCGTTTACTTTTTTCACAATCAATGACCTCCTACATTTAAACATGCCGTTATGCCTTCACGAAGGACCATGTCTGACCACTGGGCACATTTCGAAACACCTAGAAGAGAGTTGGCAATACGACACGCAGCAGAGTATTTTTGACGAATTGTGAGCTGTTTCGAAGTATGGTCAAACACTCTCTTGAGTGTTTGATATATCTTCTCAATGGCAACTAAAACTAAGAAGAAAACGGAGAAATAAAATCGTAAAAATCTATGCTAATTAAGATCAGATATCCAAACACCGTCACGGTCATGATTTTCTTCGTTTAAACTTGATGACTTTGTAACGAGTGTGACAACTCAAGATTCCAGAATCTATTCCTATCCAGTGAGAAAAACGTACTGTAAACCAATTTAAAACTCTCTTTGTAGTTCTCACCTATCTCCTTTGGCTTGCAATAATTTTGTCACTAGCAATTCTAAATACCTCTATGCAATGGCTTCACAGTGTCTTGTACATAACTGAAAATGACAGTGGAAAATTGTGGAAACATGTCTCCTTCAAAAGTTAATGTGTAGTTTTATTTATTAATATTTCACTTGCCTTCTGCCGCAAGATGTTTTGGTGTTTTCGAGAATTTTTATCACTGACAAGAGTATTCTCCCGGTGTGTTTTCAGATCTCGGGAGATTTCCAATGGGCATTCCACTCATTGATGGAGGCATGAACACGACCAAAATGCCTGTTTATGTGAGTATTTGAGTTTTATGGACTGACTGGGAGGGCTGGCTGGAGATATCTTTGACTCACAGATCAAGGAAAATTTAATCTTGTTAATCTTGATTACAATGATGACAAAGACGATGACGATGACAACGACGACAACAACAACGACGGTGATGATGATGGTGATCGTGATGGTGATGACAATGACAATGACG